CCCCCCCCCCGCTCTCTCCCTCTCCCTCTCCACACACACGCTCGCCTCTCTCTCTCTCGCTCTCGCTCTCGCTCTCGCTCTCGCTCTCGCTCTCGCTCTCGCTCTCTCTCCTATAGACAGGTTTTGACTCCTTAGCCCCAAAGGGGTTCTGTCCTTCGATTAGCCCGGGCATGAGGCCCTCTCCTCCTGCCTCAGCCTTTAGCTGGATCATCCTGGAGGCCCTTCCACCTCAGGAGTCTGCAGCAGACACCCATGTCACTGGGCACCCAACGCCATCCTGAAACGACCACGTGGCGGGGACGGCTTGGACACCCGAAGAACCTGAGCCTCATGGGTGTGGCTGTGATCTGCAAGCTACCTCCACCTCTGCCCACACCGTCCCCACGCCCCCCCCCACCCCTGAGATACAGGGGCCCCAGTGAGCAGCCTCCCAAATGAGCGGCAGCCTCGAGGGGGTGCCTTCTTCCGACGGTGGAGGAGCACAGGCAGTTGAGGGCACAGCGGCGTTCGCCACAGCTTGGGGCTCCGGGGGCGGGGTGGGGCACAGGGAAAGGGCAGCCAACAAAATAGGGACGGGATGACTTCTCGATGACAAACTTCAGCCTGCAGTTCCCTTCCTGCCTCCAGCCCCCTGGCCAAAGGAAATCAGTGTGCTCCTTTTAAGGGATATGAACATATGGGAAATGTTATTTTGGGTCAGAATGGGGTTTTTTGTTACTGTTTTTAACTGGATCCAGGTGCTGTTACAGGTTGGTTTTATCTTGTAATTCGTGTAGTTGCACTGAACTGAGCACGTCCTCGAAGGAAGGAAAAGTTAGTTGTTCAGGTTTCTGGATCAGCAGTATCACCTTAGAACAACTGCACCGGACAGAATTAGAAGTCGGGAGGCAAGTGATTTATATGCTGCTTTATTTCTGTAAGGATACACTGAACTGTCAGATGATCATAGCTAATGACAAAATGTAGAAACGAGGCATCGGCTTCTCTAACCACTCCTACAAGAATGTTAATATGCACTGTCATTACATGTGTACTCTTGATATCGTCTCATTATACTATGTAATATAACAATGTAGCTAGAATACAGTAAGTAGGTGATCCTGCATCTCAGGTAAGCGCTACGTGGAAATCCGGTTCTGCCTGCGGGGACAGTGGCCTCCGCATGCCCCCAGAGAGCCAGCTAAGCTCTTGAGGAACAGTCCTCAGAATCCCAAGAGAAGGGACTTGGCGGGCCTGCTTATTAACACACGGACGCAGAGCAGACAAGTACTACGTTACAAAGGATTCCACTTGTCACTGTTGGGAAATGTCATATCCGTGTCAATGACAGTCCTGGCGCCTGCTCACCTACCCCTCTCAAGTCTTATGGTTACTTCTGTAGGATGACTTTCAAAACTGCAGGAACGTCTGAGGGGGCTAAAATATTTCCATGCAAGTCTCCAAACCCAATAAGCTATGTTGCTATTAATTAAAACGAAGATATTGTTAATTAAAAAAGATAAAGGACAGCTGGGTTAGTTTTGTTACGCTTCCAGAAGTATTCGCTGTGATGACGTTCTTCTGAAACAGGCTTGTTTGTTTTCTCAGATCTGCCCACACTTTTCCAAATCACCTGCACGTTCCATGTTTGAAAGTAGGAACTCTCAGAAAACACGCCACACGGGGAAATCAAACGTTAGTACAGGGGAAAAGGCCAGTTGAGAATTGCAGCTAAATTCAAATGTTAATTTTCTGGAAGTCCATGTCAGTCATTTGAAAGCACAAAAGAACAGAAGGAAGGTTTTGATGAGGAAGTTAAACCATGCATTTCGCTAAGTTCTTTCTGCTCACAGAACAGCGTGAGCAGCCGAGTTGGAGCAGCCGCTGCAACTCTGATGTGTCGTGTGACCGACACGGTGGGTCCCAGCTGAGCCACAAGAGGCACCTCAGTGGGGGGCTTTATGTCTTAGGCTTCTTGCTTACGTCACTAAGCAGCTACATGGTCAGCACTTTTCTGCTCTATGATAAACATGCAGAAGAGTCAATCTAGCTAAGTGTTCGTTTGCTAATTGCAGCTCTGGAGAAATTGACTTTGCTGCAGGGTTGCTCTTTGCTAAATCCTAATAATGATCACTGTGTGCCCTTACTTGAGTAATAACTGTAAAATGGGAGGAAAGACAGAAGGAGCAACCCTGAAGAGGTGAAAGGCCGCTCTCGCCCTATGGGTGGTGCCAGGCAGAGGGCGAGGACACGAGGAACAAGACTCAAATTCCATTTTACAGGACAGGAGCCCCTGTCACTTTACAGCTTTTTGGCACAGTCGGGGCAATACACTTGCTCCTGATGGAAAACAAAGCGCTTGTTGGCCAGATTCATGGAGCATTTTTTGCAGTGGAAGCAGTAGTCGTGCCAGGATTGTCCTTCATAGGCCACCACACTGGAGCCTTTACCAAACCCTGTGGAGGAAACAAAAGCAAACAAAAGCGACAGCTGAGTGGACACAGGTGGCAGCCAGGCCGCCGCCTTGCCCATTCACGGAGCCGACAAGCACGCGGGCAGCGTCCGCCCGGCGCCCGGCCCCCCACTCCACCGCGCACCGTCCCCCGCGCCGCCGGGACCTGAGAAGATGCCAGAGCTCAGTCGAGGGCCCCCTTGCTCTCCAGAACCCACATCCCCTGCCACCGCCATCGCCCTGTGACTGATGCGCACCGACCTCCCAGCACAACCAGTTTCTTTGATTTAGGTCAGGGCCATGGCATCAAAGTGGCCACCAGGAGGCAAACTTGGGCTGTTTGTGGGGTGTGCACTTACCGGGCCTCGAGGAGCTGCTAAGCTTCGATTTTTTCTATAAAGAACCACCACCCACGAGGGACAAGTCCTCTCTCCACCCGGATGCCTGCCCCGGAGGTTGGCGCTGGGAAACAGGGTGAGAGGCAAGCGTTTCCCGTGGCACACTGGGGGCTTCCTAGCTTTAGAGACTGGGTGGCTCACTCTTGACACAGTCCTTTTCCCTGAGGATGGCAAAAGTCTTCTCAAATGTACATTTCAAGGCTCCCCGGGAGATGGGAAAATTGGAGGCGGGGGAGAGGGCCCAGGGCACGTGGACCGCGGCCGCGAGATGAGGAATGAAGTGATTAGCTCGGCTCCTGATCGCAAAAAAAACTGCCCACTGGCACCTCTGAGCTAGCCTTCCGCTATGGGGTGTTCTCATCCCAGCTTCTCGCTCTCCGGCCTCCCCCCACTCCCCTCCCCT